GTGGGCGTCACAGGAGAAGCAGCAGGTGAGGACTCATGAGGAGAGGCCGTGGGCGTCACAGGAGAAGCAGCAGGTGAGGACTCATGAGGAGAGGCTGTGGGAGTCACAGGAGAAGCAGCAGGTGGAGTCATGAGGAGAGGCCGTGGGAGTCACAGGAGAAGCAGCAGGTGAGGTGAGGAGAGGCCGTGGGCGTCACAGGAGAAGCAGCAGGTGAGGACTCATGAGGAGAGGCTGTGGGCGTCACAGGCGTCTTCGCCTCTAGCCCTGGCTTTCCTTCCCTCTTGCTCTTTGTTGGCTCCCACTTCTTCACCTTAGCAAATGGCTTCACATTAATGGCAGTTGTCACCTATCAACCGAGCCTCCTAGCTACTTAGACCTGCGCGTTCTCAGTGACACCTCAGGAGTCCCAGCATCCAAGTTGTTCTTTTCTGCCCAGAGTCTGCTCATCTGAACTTTTCAAAAACATAAACTCTGGTGTGGCGTTTCAGAGCTTCTGGTTGTCGGAGACATAGCAATCTTCCTCTGCAAACACAGCAGTGACAGAAACACCCACGTGACGTTTCCCAGAGACATTTCCCTCTAAACCAGCCGTGCCCTTGTCTTCCGGGCTCGTCAGGACCTGTCAAGCTATCTTCTAGCTCAGCAAACCTCAAAGTGCAGTCCTTGGGCCAGCAGCCCCATCTCACCTGGGAAGTGTTCAAAGCCAAAGCGGTGTTCTCAAACCTCACTCAGACCCGCCGAGGCAAGGACATTTGGGAGGGGCCCTGCACGTGGAAATCAGCCAGGCTTGAAGTAGCAGAGTGGACTGCCTTTCAGAACCACCAAATGAAGACTAACTCTTTATTGGGATGCAATGTAAGAAGCCCAACCAGGGTGGTGCACGCTTGATCCTAGAACTCAGGAGGCAGAGGCAGGAGAACCTCAAGTTCAGGGTTAGCCCCAGGCCACATAGTAAGACAGAGTTTCAGAAGAGGTAAAGGACGATGTAAGACTTGAATGGTATTTTTCCTGTTGAGTCTGTTGTTCGCCTTTGTTTAGTGATTATACCCACATCCTGTCAAAGAGTGAGGAGGGGCTTTGGATATAACAGTTTGGAGGCTGATAATAAATAACAGGTTCTGAAAAGTCACCATGCCATCTGGGACCCCTGCATTACGTCACGTCATCATTATTAACCTGATGTGTATTTATGATTTTCGTTGTACGGGCTTGTGGTGGTTTGAATGAAAATGGCCCACAGAGGCTCCCATATTTAATGCTTAGTCCCCAGTTGATAAACTGAGAAGGATTAGGTGTGGCCTTGTTGGTGTAGATGTGTCCCTGGGAGTAGGCTTTGAAGTTTCTAAAGTCTATGCCAGGCCCAGTATCTGTCTGTCTGTCTGCACACCACCCCCACTGCCTGTTGCCTGTGGATCAGGATGTAAAGCTCTCAGCTGCTACTCCAGCACCATGCCTGTCTGCTCTCTGCCATGGTGGTCATGAATTAACTCGACAACTCTAAGCAAGCCCCCAAATGAAATGCTTTCTTCAGTAAGTTGCCTTGGTCATGGAGTCTCCTCACAGCGATAGAACAGTGACTGAGACAGGATAAAGAGAAGATTTTGTTGTTGTTTAGGTTTCAGTTTGTGTTTTGAGAAACCTGTTGTTAAGCCTTTGAGTTTCTTGCAAGGACACTGTGTCCAGGGAGCTGTTGAGAAATAATCATTCCAGAATAGATAGGGTTGAGCGAGGGTGGTAGCAGGGCTGTCTCTTGGGCTTCTCCTCAATACTGAGCTGCTTATGTGAGCCACCATCAACAGATAACAGCCCAGCCAGCATGTTCTGGGCTCCTCAGGTCTCTGCTGGCAGAAGAAGCGTGGAGAGAAACCTGTGGCCACACACCAGCATCCCAAACTGATGTCAATTCTGGGATTTGGGGCCTCAGTTAATAGACCAAAGGCCTTCTCGCTCATTTTTAACAGTGTCCATATAAGAGAAAATCGATTTTTTTTTATTTTTTTATTTTTGCTCTGCCACCACACCCATCTTTACCTCTAATTCTTTAAAAGAAAAAGCACTCACCATTTCCTGGCTGTTACCATATCCAAAGTCTGTAGCTGGTTTGCTAGCACACTAGGTCAGTCAGTGTGCCTCATAAGGAAGAGAAGACCCAGAGAAATCAGTGATTCTCGATCACATGGGCAGCAGAGGCTAGTCACATTCTGGGGAACAGCGGCACTTCCTCAATAATGCAAAGGGATCCCCAGAAATGTTTCCTGTTTCCTAGGGGCAAACACTTCACAGGCCTGCAGACTTCAGTCTCTATTCGGTTCCACTTACTTCTGCCTTCTTAGCAGTGTGTGGTGGAGGCAGCCTTGAGGTTGAGCGTGGGTCTGAAGGGTGGCGTTCTTTAGTTTGAGAAGGAGTGTCAGTATGTCGCCACCGCAGGGGTCACTTGGTGAACCTGGCTGAGTGTAAAGACTTAAGTGTGCACCAATAGTACTCTGATATGTCCTTTTCTTGTAACTACTGCACCTGTGTTTGAGAGTTTGGTTTTAATTATTTTGTTCATCTTTGTAACTATGTGTCATCCATTCTAATTCATTTTTCTTAGAAGAACGGGATGGAATGAGGTGGGTTATTGGCCCTGTCTCCTGTGGTCAAAGTTTAAAACAAGATAACCATTCCACTTTTAAAAATGTCCAGTAAATTTTGCTAGGTCCTTGGTCTCCAGGTTGTGACGTCCTTCTGAGAATTTTTCTAAAATGCAAATTTTAACCCAGCATGCCTAACAAGACAGTGGATGACTGAGGTTTGCCTCCACACGGAGCTTCTTGGTGGCTCCCATGCTGGTTGCCACCAGCTCCACCTGGGAAGCAGAGGGGTCTGCAGGGCTGGATTTGAACCAAGCCCTGCCTTGCTGGATTGCACTTCTCTACCAGACCTCTAGGTGGAGAAAGTGCTGCTGGCCCCAAGACCAGCCCCACCCTAAGCAGGGAAATCCAGGGACTTCGGAGGTGCCCTGTGTTGCTGGGGTGGGGACCTGGGGACACCTGACTTCCTAATTCTGTGTGGGCACTTCCTCGTCCTCACAAGAATGCTGTGCTGTTTTAAGTCCACTCTACCATCTGTGCTTCCTAGGTGAGGCTGTAATGAGATTCTCTGTTTCAGCTTGAATTAGGAAGCTAGTCTGTTTTGGAATGAAAACACACCATGTTTACCAGCCGAGTCATGCTGTGTAAACAGAAATTAGGGAGGTGCTCACACAAGCAACTCACTGAAGGGCTTAACAGTTTGCTGTGTGCCATTATGTGTTGGATTTTTAAAGGGAAACAATATGGTTATTTTAGATTTTCTTCTGATTCTTTGCTTTGTGGGGCTTCCTGTTGCTCTGGCTTTGAATTGAGCAAAAGGCCTAACATGCAAGAACACCACGGGGCTTCTGTAGACCAGGCACTAACCCAAGGATACTGTCCACACACAGATCCCATGTTTGCTGGTTCCTTGGTTGAATTTGGATTATTTTTTTCAATTTGGAAATCTTTATATTCTTTTTTTCTGAATTTTCCAAAGGAAATGTGTATTTTTACATTTGTAATAAGAAAAGTAACAAAAGCTGTTCCTCAAGCAGAAGGGTTTTAGAATCTGTTCTTACCAGACATCGATGTCTGCACCACCACAGCTGCCTTGCTCACCGGAAAAATCGCTTTCCCATGGTGCTTTACACTGACTGAGAATAAGTCTCAAGCCTTTTGCCTGCTCATTGGTTCTTTTTTTATTTCTCCAAGCTGGGATCAAAAGTGCTGATAATACGATAAGAGTATTGGCTGTAAAGCCCATTGTTAAACAGATGTTTCTGCAAGTTAGCTTTTCTACATTAATAAAGACACACAGAAGTTAGTGGTTCAGACTAGAAAGTACCTGCTGGCACACTCACTGGGGAGACTTGGACGGGTCTGGCTTCTCAGCCAGAAACCTCAGTGTATCTCTGGCCAACTGGTGGCTGATAGCCTCACTCACCTCCTGAGGCTTGGCCCACCAAAGTCCCCATCACAGAGAAGGCCTGCTTGGATCCACACACATGGTGACAGGTAGCAGGTCCCCAAAGCATCCAGGGCAGTGTTTGCAGGCCCCGGGCTCAGCCTCACCCACTGCTCTCCATAGCCAGAGGCAGTAGCCAGGCCTGACCCGTGTGTAGAGGCTGAGGCACAGATGCCACCTCTTTGTGGAGGGGGCTCCTGGGTGTGGTAGCGGCTGGCTCTGCAGCCCTAACCGTCTGGTCTCACAGGCTTCTGAGGACACAGTCTCTGGAATGGTTCTACAGCAATGTGAAGAGCCGCTTCAAGCGTTTCGGCAGCGCCAAGGTCCTGAAGAACCTGTACAGGAAACACCGTCTGGAGAGCGGAGCCTGCTTTGACATCCTAGGTACCCCATTGCCTGCTGCTCCGGGAGGTCTGGGTGGCTGGGAGTCAGTAGAGAGGGCTGGGCTTGGAGGCCCCGTTCTTGGGCGTGTACACTCTTCATAGGGACAGAGGAACTTTTTGGGGAGGCTGCAGGGAGTGCCGTGTTTTTTTTTTGTTTTTTTATGAATACGTGTGTGTGTGTGAATGCACGTGTGTATGGATGTGCGAGCACATGTGTGCACATGCATGTGAAGCCAGAGGCGAGCTTCCAGTGTCATTCCTCAAGAGTCATGTACCGTGTTTTTTGACAGGGTCTTTCACAGGCCAGAAACTCACTGTGTAGGCTAGACTAGCTGGTCAGGGAGACCCAGAGAACCAATTATCTCTGCCCCAACACCCTCTCCCCTAACCCTTAGTGTTGGGATTAAAGGCCCATGCCACCATGCTCAGCTTTTCATGCTGGGAACCGAACTCAGGTCCTCAGCAAACACTTTACCAGGTCATCTCTCCAGCCCCAGCTCATGGGCTTTGGGCCTCCCTACTGGACTAGACATGTTGAAAGCTTGGAAGATCAAACTATTTCAGCAAACTGTAGATGTTTTAATTTTGGACTCTTACAAGTCATTGTGTACACACACCTGTGCACATGTGTGTGAGGCCAGAGGAAGACATCATGTTCCCTGCTCTAGCCTTGTTTACTGCCTTAGTACAGGATCTCTCACTGACCTGGAACTAGTCTGGTGGCCAGCAAGCCCCACTAGTTCTCCTGTCTCCACTTCCCACAGCACTGGAGTCTCACGCATGCGAGGCGGTGTCCAGCTTTTTACACTGACCCTAGGTTCCCACAGCACTGGAGTCAGTCTCACGCATGCGAGGCCGTGTCCAGCCTCTGACCCTAGGGATTTGAACTCAGGCCCTCAGGCTTCTGCAGCAGCGCTCTGAACACTGAGCAACACCCCCAGCACCTAGAAACGACCCTTAACTGTCATCCCCTGATGACAAGACACCAGAAAGTCCTCTCCCGGTGGAGATGATGCCAGTTCTATATCCTGAGAGTGGGCACAGCCACTCTTCATAGCCCGGGTTCTGCTTACCAGACTCAGAATCCAGCATCCTAGAAAAATCACAAGAGTGTCGGTGTCCTCGGGAAGCCCAAAGGGCAAAGTTCACCTACATCGTGTTTAGACAGATAGGACAACCAGGTTCCTCTGAAGACGGCCAGGAGGATGAAGCAGTTGTGGAGCGTGTGAACAGCTTGCCTCAGTAATGAAGCTGTGTTTTTTCTGCTAGCGCTGTTCACTGCTGACGCGGGTAAATGCGTTTTATCCACGAGAATCAGGGAAAGAAAAGACCTTGTCCAGCTTATTTGCAGCTTTTCACCATCATCATTTTACATTGTCGTGTCCTCAAAAAAGAGTTCTTTGCTGTGTCTCATCTAAAAATACATCTGCCGCACAGAAAACGGGGAGACAGGATGGAGGCATTGCATTTGAGAGTCGTCAGGGCCTTTTGTGGTCCTAGTTAGACTCTTTCAAGCCTCACAGGACGGTGTGTTTGACTGAGAGAAGCAGCAGCAGCCATATGAGATCAAATACAGAGGCTTACCTCAATTTTTCTCAGCTTGCAGTACACGGACGTTTTTGTGGTAGACAAGGGTGACAGTTAAACCATTTGTTCCGGGCAGCTGTTCGGATAGCTGCGTGCCCTCCATCTAAAGATGAGTGAGCTGCCATTTCAGACATCAGGGCACCATCCGTGTGCCTGTTTTTCTGGGAAGGAGGGAGGTCAAGGGCCAGAGAGGGCTGGGCTTCCTGAAGGTCACACAAACAGGTCACACAAATGGCCTAACATTCCCCAGTCTTGTCCCCGCTGCTCTGCCTTTCACCAGCACTGGCTCCAGAGAAATCTTAGTCCAACGGAGGCTGCTGTATCAGAATCCACAAGGCAGCGTAGAAAGAGTCAAAGTCTCTTTAGCTGGGAGTTTGAAAGCCTGGAAAAGCTTCTCTCCCTCCCCACCCCACCTTTCCCGTGTGTGTGTGTGTGTGTGTGTGTGTGTGTGTGTGTGTGTGTGTGTGTGTGTGCGCGCGCGCGTGTGCGCGCAGGCGCGCACATACATGCTCACAAGCTCATGCGTGAGCCAGAGTCACAGATGGTTGTGAGCCTCCTGACGTAGGTGCTGGGAATGGAACTTGGGTCCTCCGGAAGAGCAGTAAAGCTTTCTTAGTCACTGAGCTATCTTTCCAGCCCCTTGGCAAGACCCTTCTTGCTGTGTCATCCCGGGTGGAAGGTAAAATGTCAGGTCACACTTGAAAGACCAAGAATGGAAGAGGGACCATTCACAATGAGCCCACTCTTGAATAACCACACTTCCAGGATACATTAACCCACTACACGAGGGTGGGTTCTTCCCGTACCGTCAGGTTGAGGGTCAAAGTTCATGGTGACTTTGGAAAGAAAAATATACTCTAAGCCAAAGCAGAGGATACTGGAAGGAAGTTATGGTAAAGTTGCACTAAAAACCATTGTGAAAAAAAAAAAAAAAAAAAAAAAAAAAAAAAAAAAAAAAAAAACATTGTGCAAAGAGAAACGTTGGGTCAAAGACTGGATCTTTGTAGCATTTGACGATCCCATCAAACCATTGGCAAGGCGGCAGGCTTCATCTCCGTAGGTCGTGCACCAGCTCCACGGCGCGACCTTGTTCATCAGAGACCTTCCATGGCTGTGCTCTTCTCTCTAGGGGGACCCTTTGAACCGAACCTGGAGAATGAAGGGAGCATTTCCGGAAGTGACTCAGCATTCTACAGGCAGTCGGAAGGTGAGGCTGCTGGGCTGACAGCTGCTGGAAAGGCTGTTGCATTGACCATGACTGTGTGGGGATTGACCAGAGAGCGCTCTGGAATCAGAAGATGACAATCAAACCAGGGACCTATGCTTCCTGTGTGAAACTCTTCCTATAATTTACAAATTCTATATTTTATACCAACACCCTTGTCCTATAATTATGGCATCTAAAGCCATTCTGGGACTTGGTAACCCTCCCCATCACACACATGCCCAGTTGAGTGCCTAGCCTGTCCAGGATCTTGGAAAATACCCGGGTTCATGGACTCAGCAGTCTTGCAGGGCATCGCTGGAAACCACCTAGAGCCCAGTGCAGTGGAGTTACTCAGTCATGTTAGCTGAGACTGTGTGGAGCTGCTCTGTGAAAATGCAGTGGGGGCAAAATACGACTGAAGCACGTTGTATCTGTGTCACAACAAAATCCAGTGTTTTGTGTGATTAATGTAACTAACAATAAAACAACACATCAGGGCTGCAGAGATAGCTCAGCCGGTAATGATGCCTGAAGCCAAGCATGATGATCTGAGTCCTGTCCCTGGGGCCACACGGTAGAAGAAGAAAACTGACCCCCACAAGTTGTCTTCTGACTGCCACATATATACGCATGTGAACATGTATACACACACACATGCACACTGTGTAAAGGAGAGAGAGAGAGAGAGAGAGAGAGAGAGAGAGAGAGAGACGCACAAGATGCACACACACATACACTACAATTTTAAATGTAATATTTTTAATATTTTAAAAACAACTTTAGTCCTTTCTCCAAGATGAGTATCCTGGAAAGGCCAGGTGGGAGGTAGAAGACCCATCTCCAGGGAGCCCTCGGTGTGGTAACAACTTGCAGATTGCCCTCATGGGTTCTTATTGGAACTTACGGGGACTGCACTCAGCCCGATAGACCACAGTGTGCAGTCTGTCTGTCTGTCTGTCTGTCTGTCTGTCTGTCTGTCTGTCTGCCTGTTGTGACTGTAAGAGTGGCACACATCCTCCACCTGCGTCACTGGACCTTAGCTGGATTTGTGTTAGAGGATTTATTATATCTTCTGAATGCCATGTTCTGGCCACATTGGTGTCTTTAGGAGTCTGGGGTGCTTGGGTGAGTGACGAATGAATGAGGAGATGTGCTCACACTTTGTCTCATTTCACAAATGGCTTCCAGCAGCTCGCAGGAGATTGGCATGTGCTAACAACACAGGACTGGATTATGAGTAGCAACAGGAGTAAAATTAGAGGAAAAGAGACACAGGCATCCGTTTCCTTCAGACCCGTGAGCCTGTGACTGATGGAGATTGGCTACAGTGTAAATTCCTGAGTTCAGTCTCCATCACCCACCTAAAAGCTTCTCTCGCTATCCCAGTTCCAGAGAGATGGGGACAGGTGGATGCTAGCTAGATGTTCCAGCTGAATCAGTGAATCCAGGTTCAGTGAGAGGCCCTATCTCAAAACAAAAAAACAAAAAACAAAAAAAGTGTGTATAGAGGGCAGTTCTGGAACTCAACCTCTGACCTCTTTGTACACACACACACACACAAACACACACACACACACACACACACACACACACACACACACACACACGTACTGCTGTGCCATTTTAAAAGATCGCATTGTCTTGCTTTCATTTCACCCTGCAAGGGCTTTCCCAGCAGTACTGGATACCAATAGTAACCCTCTGCTATCTCCCTGTTTAACCTCACTGGATGCCATCTGTGCAGTGTGAGCACACTGCACCTCACTGGATCCCATCTGTGCAGTGTAAGCACACTGCACCTCACTAGATTACCGTGGAGATTACAGGCGTGAAACTCTCCACTGGGCCCCAGCATGTGTTCTATTCAGTCTTGTTTTTGACACTGGGTCTATGGCCCCGGTGTTTGCTTTAAGCCATGTTCACAGCCAATGTCTTAGGGACATTTAATAATTTCTGTCCATGTCATCACAGTGGTAGAATGTACAAAATAGGACCTATGCTGTCAGAGAATGTAGACAAAGAAACGTTTTCTGACAGGCCCCCAGAAGCATGTTGGTTACCCAGCAGGATACCAGAAGGCAGAGAAGGGAGAGGGAGACTCAACCCTCATGGCATGGGGTGTGGTTATGGTGGAGATTGCGGTGAGGTGGATGCAGAGGACAATGGATGCTCGTGTTCTATCCCAAGTAGCTCAAGTGTGTCCTGGAACCCGGGGTTGGAAGCAGAAAAGTAACCCATGCAGCCATTGTGACTTGTCCTGTGTTCTGTCCCTCCCTAGGACACAGCATGATGGACACTTTGGCTGTCGCCCTACGAGTGGCAGAAGAAGCCATCGAGGAAGCCATTTCCAAAGCAGAATCCCACGGGGACAGCCTGGTAGGACCCCCTTCCCGTGGTGGGGGTAGCAAGTGGGAGCACGGTGGCTGGCAGGAGCAAGAGCAGATGGCCAGGGGTCCAAGTCACCACAGCCTTGAGCAATGCTGGGTGTGGCCTCCTCTTCACTGTTGGCAGGACCACTGTGACAATGACCCCATGTCCCCTCCATTCTCTTCCTTCCACAGGACAAACAGAATGAGGCCAGCTACCTGCGGGACCACAAGGAAGAGCTGACTGAGGAACTTGCTACCACCATCCTGCAGAGGGTAGGCCAGTGCAGACGCCCACGGGGACCAGGCCAGGGCCTGGAGAGTAAACTCATCCCGATTGTTGATGCCATGACCAAAGTTAAGAGAGCAGAATGAAGCAAGCCTTGGAGTCCACTCTGTCTGGAGAACACTTGCTTCAGTAAAGTGCTCACTGCACACACTGAGTGGCTTGTGCTTTTCCTCCCAGGGGAAGGCATGTGGATCCCCAGGATTCACTGGTCAACCAGCATAGCACAGTAGGCAAAAATCCAGGTTCAATATGAGACCATGTCTGGCAAAAAGAGAGAGAGAGAGACTGAGGAGAGCACCGCAGGTTGACTTCTGACCTCCACACATATGTGCACACACAAACATGTAAATGAATACACACTGAAGAACTCCATCTTGGTGGCTTGGCCATTTTCAGTTGCCCCGTCTGTAGAAGTTAGGGTCCCGGAGGAATCTGAGACAATGGGCCCACTAAATAAATGCACGTGGCTGTGCCAGCACAGCTGAGGGCAAAAAGGAACCTGGGCATGTGCCAGTCCTTGAAGCTTCCTCAAGTCAGCTCAGCCAAAGGCACAGGACCTGTGTGTGTTGCAGCTTTAGCTGACACGTGAATCTCTCTGGACCTGTGTTCTCACCTATCAAGTGGGAAGAAGTGTACATCTCCCAGAGTTACTCTGTAGTCTCCAGCATGGAGTCTAACGTGGAGTGATAGCCACCGGCTCCTTATCTACAGCTCCAATCAACCAAGGACCCAAAATACGTGGGGAAAGGAATTCCAGAGTGTTCCAAAATGACAGCTCGAGCTTGCTGTACCAAGCACTAGGCTGAGTCCACATGGACAAAAACACATGTGAGCTTAACTTCTGTGGCCGTCCACTGTCTCCCAAAGCCTTAGTCCTTCCTGACAGGTGTCATTTGGTCATCACCTGCCTGGTGCCACACAGCTACACCCGTGACAGCTACATCTTTACTTCACATGTAGACTTTTTCTCATTGTTCCCCAAACAATGGGCCCAGCAACTATTTTAGCAATATACATACATACATACATACATGCATACATACATACATACATACATACATGCATACATACATACATACATACATACATACATGCTTACATACAATCTCAATCTCAGGTGCTGTAAGTGATTTGAAGATGACCTCCTGCATCCAGGGTGATGTACAGTTTCTCTAAGCAAACACTTTACCATGTCATGTCCACTTGAGGCGTCATTCCTCAAGCTCCAGCTGTCTTGGGTTTTGATATATGGTCTCTCACTGGGATGTAGGACCCACAGATTAGGCTATGTCAGCTGGCCAGTGAGCCTGAGGGATCCTCCTGTCTCCACCTCACAGGTGCTAGGATTACAACTATGAACCACCCACCAGCCTTTTTACAAGAGTTCTGGGGGAGCAAACTTGGATCTTAATGTTTGTACAGCAAGCCCTTTCCCCAAGCCTCATCAGTGGTGTGGGGGACCTGTGAGGGAGGCTGATTCCGGGGCTGGTCCCCTGCAGAGGGAGAGGGGTGGCTGCACTTGTCAGCGACAGGTCATCAAGGCTGTGTGTGCCCTTTCGGCACAAGGTCCATCTGAAACATACTGTTGCAGCTCTGTCCCTGGGTGGCCAAGAAAACATCCCAAAGATGATCCCAGTCACGTCACTTAGCCTCCAGAAACCTCTTCAGTGATGTGTCCCCATTTCCTCAGATTATCAGAAAGCAGAAGAACAAAGCTGAGCCACCAGCAGAGGAAGAGGGACCAGAGTGGCCGAGGCCCCAGAGTGGAGGTGTGAAGGCTGAGGATGAGGGGACCATGGCTCCTCCAGGACGACAACGGGCACATACTACCCTCTGGGTGAGTCAACACAGCAGTGATGCCACACCACACTACACACACACACACACACACACACACACACACACACACACACTGTGGGTCAGAGCCATTCTCCTACAGAAAAGGGCCAGGCACATTTTGCCATCTGCAGGGAATGTGGAGGGGAGCAGGTAGGGAACAGGGGAGAGCCAGAAACTGAGGGCAAGCACAGGTTGCTGGGGAGTTTTTACATGGAGACCAAATTAGGGAAAATGAAGATGACCGTAGGCTGCGTGTGTGTGTGTGTGTGTGTGTGTGTGTGTGTGTGTGTGTGCAGGTGTGTGTATGTGTGCAGGTGTGCACGTGGAGGTCAGAGGTCAACCTCAGGTGTCATTCCTCAAGCACAGTTCACCTTGATCTTTTGAGACGGGGTCTGCCTCTGGTCTGGAATTCACCGATTCAGCCAAGCCGACTGCCAGCTCTTCTGTCTCCACCTTCCCAAAGCTGGGATATTGTGTGTGCCCCACCATGTCCAGATTTTAAATGTGGGCTCTGGGAATCGAACTCAGGTCTTTGTACCTGTGAGGCAAACACTGCCAACAGAGCCATCTTCCCCAGCTCACAGAGGTCCTACTTGCTCACACCAGTGCAGGACTGAGACCCTTACATTGAGGAAAAGGAGCCTTTGTATAGTTAAACCCCCCTCTCCCAGGTCCCAGGTGTGGGGGAGAAGACTTTGACCACTCCTTGGTTACTGCCTGAAGAGTGAAGAGGTAGTGCTTCTAGGTCTCACTAACGTGAGCATCCATGAGCCATGCGCCCAGGGCCTCCTCAGGCCCTCCCAGCTCTCTCCAGGCTAGCTCCTCCGGTTGTACCCACCATTGCTTCTCCCACAGATCCTTGTGCAGGCAAGAAGGGAAGAAACGCAGAGACCACAGGTGGGAGAGAGTGAGTCAGGGTATGAGAAAGCCAAACTACTCAAGAATTAACACTTCCGGGTAGGCATACAAGCACTGCAGTGCCACCTGCTGGAATGGGTCTTCACTGCAATGACTCTGAGGCCTCGTAATCACAGATAACTCCTTGCTGGCCTTGCCCTATGTTGTCTTGACATCACCAGAACTGTTCCGGATTCTGGTGGCAGGGATGCATACCTCCTGCATCCTGGGGACCAAGTGAGGCCGCATGCCGTGTGACATGTGTCTGCTTAACTCTCCTATGAGCAGGACCTTGCTGCGAAGGATGGATGTGTCTGTCTCCTTCTGTTACCGTCCCCCCCACTTCCAAACTCTTCCTCTTACGTGGCCCTCCAGGTCTTCTTGGGAGGATTGGAGGGATTTCGTGGCCCACACTGGCTTGTACCATATCCCGGCAGTGAGCCGTAGGCCCCCAGTCTGAGAGTTCTTGAGCATGCTGGGTGGGAGCCTTTTCCCAGACGGAGTGAGAGTCCTTGGGGGCCATGGTCACCGAGAGCACCACCCCTTCCCAAAACCCAGCCATACACTCCAGTCCTGTCGTCCCAGCGTGTGTTGTGTGTGTGTGTGTGTGTGTGTGTGTGTGTGTGTGTGTGTGTGTGTGCGCGCGCGCGCATGCGCACGCGCGCTCATGCAGAAGGGACAGCCTTAGGTATCATTCCTCAGAAATTGCCCATGTTGTTTTTGATACAGAGTCCTTTGCTAGCCTGGTGCTCACCAGGTGGGCCTTTCAGCAAATCCCAGGGACCTGCCTACCTCCACCTCCCAGTGCTGGAATAAAAGGTGCACACCACCACACTTGGCCATACCTGGCTTTTTCAGTGTGGGCTCTGGGGGTTTAATGTGGGTTTTCATGCTTACAAAGCAAGCACTTGTCTGACTGAGCCGTCTCCTAGCCCTTGAGCACAGAGGTTCACAGTGAGCAGAGGAACGGGGTGTTTCCAGATTGTTTGACAAGGCTGTGGCAGAAAGGACACTCCAGCATGGGGACAGGACTCCTGTGTTCAGCTCCAGAGCATGTCACACCCTGCTTACATATCTGTGAGAGAGCACTCTGTGTCTCCTTTGCTCCCCCACCCCCACCCCCACCCCCAGTGGTGGGAGAGGCAAAAAGAGCATTTGTCACTGGGATAGGAGGGTCACGGGCGTCACAGCAACATCTGGGACACAGTGTGTTCAGGGATCCCAAGGTCCCTGTCCTCCTGGGTGCTTCCGATGGTTATGTGAAGTGTCCTTTCCAGCCTGAGCCTCCTGAGTTCAAAACAAACACCTCATGTGCTGGTCCACAGCTCCTGAGCCTTGCCAAGGAGGACAGCCTCGCTGTGCAGTGTCCTCAGCCTCGCTGTGCAGCGTCCTCAGCCTCGCTGTGCAGCGTCCTCAGCCTCACTGTGCAGTGTCCTCAGCCTCGCTGTGTAGCGTCCTCAGCCTCACTGTGCAGCGTCCTCAGCCTCGCTGTGCAGTGTCCTCAGCCTCGCTGTGCAGTGTCCTCTGTGGCTTCTGAGCCTTGCTGTGAAGATAGCCTCGCTGTGAAGTGTCCTCTGCTTGCTGGACCTTGTTCACAGATGAGCTGGAGGCCCTCATCTTGGGGCTGTGCTTACAGCTCACGTAACCCTCTTTCCACAGCGGTCCCAGTCTGCATTCTCCTTCACCACAGACGATGCTCTGAAGACCTGTTCAGCAGAGGCTACACCAAGGCGGTCCAGGGAGCGTGGCCAGCATCTGCTGGAGGAGTCCGCTCTGCCCGGCTGGAAGAGCATGGATGGACTGGATGGAACAAGTAATGGGTTTTTGTTGTTTGTTTGTTTTGTTTTGTTGAGACAAGACCTCATGGAGCCCTGGCTATCCCCGATCCCCTGTGTAGCCAAGGCCTTGAACACCTGATCCTCCTGCTCTGCTTCTCAGGGCTGAGATTGTAGATCTGTGAGCCACCACTCCCTGGCTCCAAGTGGGTTTCACAAGTGCTGTTTGGAGTCTTACCAGCGTGTGTGTGTGTGTGTGTGTGTGTGTGTGTGTGTGTGTGTGTCCGTGAAAGCGTCCCTGAGAGGCAGTTATCCTGCCTGTCCTAGGGATGGCACTTTGGTATGCTTGCACCTATGGTCTTCTTGCTTGCTTCTAGAATGTCCTGCCTTTCCCTTAGGGGATGGAACTCACATCGACATGTGTAACTCATGGCCCTTTATAAAGTTGTTGAGTCTTACATAAGCTCAGTGACTTACCTAAGATCTCACACAATGGTTGTGGCCATGGAAATAGAAGCCAGGGGCCATGAAGCCCCACACTTGGGGTTCTTGTATCCTCCAGAACAGGTCTGCTCCTCACGTAGTAAATACAGACATATGTTGTCCCATGAAGCATCTGTTAGTGGTATCCTCAACCTGTGTTGTATCTCAGTCACAGATCTCTTCCCCAAATAGCAAAAATACTAATAGCAGGTGGTCACCTGCAAAGTAAACTTTTAAAGACTATCTATTTCCCTCTATAACTAACCAACAGCCTACGAGCAACATTGGCCCAGGCCAAAGACTCAGAAATGCTCAATATCTGTTAATCTGAAGATTTCCCATAAGAAGTAACTTCCCTGTTAATCCTCTAGTACCTGGTGGGTATCTGACGGGTGGAGTAGCTGATGGGTAGAGTAGCTTGAGAGGTGGAGTAGCTGAAGGGTGGAGTAGCTGATGGGTAGAGTAGCTTGATGGGTGGAGTAGCTGATGGGTGGCGTAGCTGATTAAGTGGAGACTGTGCAGCCACAACACTCAGAGATGACAGCCCAGCTCTTGCTTTATCTGTGTGCTTTTATGGTTTTGGTTTTTCACGACTTTTCATCCCTAGACACACCATTCAGATACCCAGCATGCTTGTTGCTTGTGTCCCCTGATTCTCATTCTCTCTCTCTCTCTCTCTCTCTCTCTCTCTCTCTCTCTCTCTCTCTCTCTCTCTCTCTCTCTCTCCTTTTATCTTCTCTCTGTCTCCCTCTGCTCTGTGTCCCTGGAGCCATTGACACCACCATATGCTGTTTCTGGGGTACAAGTACCACATTTCTGACCTGACCACCCTGGAACTGGGCAGAGGGAGGTTTGTGTGGGAAGACTTCTCCATTGCCGTCCAGTCTTGGGCTAAGGCAAGCTTCACAGTCGCATGTTGAGGCTGTGCCCTGAACGTGGACTTGGTTTAGCTGTCTCTCCCTCTGGTGCCCACTCCTCATGAATCCTACCCTACTTCCTATCTTCTAAGCGACTTTGACCTCCACCAGAGGCGGAGTCTAATGTGCTGAGCTGGGGGCTTACCATTCACTTAGAACTCAAGGATGGACAGACATGAGATGAGAGTCAAGTGGTGGGTGACTTCCGGTCACTGTGGCTGTGCTGTGGAGCTACCGTTACCTGCCAACCGGGCAAGGGAGGTGGGTACTTAGCCCACAAGCTCCCAGCTATGAGTGGAGGCACGCTCCCAGCAAGGGACGATTCCCAGGCATTCCAGCCCCAGCTCAGGGCACACAACACGGGTCTTTCTTGTACCTAGGTTTTGATTCAACTGAAGAATTAGAAGTGCTGGCAGCCATACTTTCGCGAGGGGTGCTCTGACAGGGTACCAACTATAGTTGTGGGTGGAGAGCACAGGGTCTCCATGGGGAAAGTCAGTTTCCTGGGTCTGAGGAGTTTTGTGGGGTATCTGAGTCCCCGGCTCCCCGGCCACTCAACCTGCCTTCATAGCACCCCCGAGACCACTTTGCTTCACAGAGGGGTGTATGCGAGCAGTGACAACCGAATACGCACCTGCTTTCTATGTGCACAGCTATGGAGGGGTGGGTACGGGTCCACAGTCCCATGTCAAAGTCCACGTCTGTAATTCCCACCCAACACACACATGAGACAAGCGGAGAGTGCTTGGCGTATCCAGCGCTGTGGGCTTCATGCTCCGAGATGCCACCATGTCCCCCAGACACCCCGCTAACAGGTTGGGAAACAGGCTGGGGGTAATCTCTGACCTGAGGCCTTCTGCTAGAAACCTTGCATCCAGGGGTCAGTGTGAATTCTTTTTAAATTCTCTTTTCTAACATTATTTACTTCTTAGTTTTGGTGCTTTGTATGTATATATGGCCATGCATGCAGTACCCATGGAGACCAGAGGAGGGCGTCAGATCCCCTGGAACTGGAATCACAGACTATTATGAGCTACAGTGTGGGTGCTGGGAATTGAACCTGGGTTCTCTACAAGAGCAGCCAGTGCTCTTAACCACTGAGCGGGCTCTCCAGTGCTCCAAGCCCCGGGTTCTTGGATTTGCCCTTCACTACAGCAGCCCTGTTTACACATGGCTGTGTGAAAGGAAGCTACTAAGAATTCATGTTTGGCTGTGGTGGCTCTGGTGGTAAAAATGTTTGCTGTGTGAGCATGAGGTCCTGAGTTCAATTCCCAGATCCCACATTTAAAAAAAAAAAAAAAAATCAGGCCTGGGCTGGCAGGATGGCTCAAGTTGACTGTTCTTTCGGAGTTCCTGGCTTTTGATCCCAGCGAACATATCAGGTGACTCACTACTGCTTGTAACTCCAATTCCAGTAGATAGGGTGCCCTCTGACCTCCACGGGCTCCTACATGCTTGGTGTAAACTTAGCAGACATGAACTCGTATGCGTAAGTAAAAACAAAATCGTTTCCTAAGGAGACAGGAGGAACTGAGTTTCTACCAGGCAGTTGAGCTGGATCAGCTTCAGCGGGAGATCCCATCTTAGAAACAAAGGTGGGAGATAGCGCAGTGGCTAACGTACTTGCTGCACCAATGTGAAGACCAGAGTTCTGATCCCCAGAACCCTCACCAATACCTGGTGGGCATGGCAGCCGCCTATAATTCCAGCCCCAAAAGCAGAGATGGAGCCCCCAGGCAAAGCTACCTACGGAAAGTAGCATATCGGTGAGCTCTGCTTTGACTGGGGGACCCCGCCTGGCCTCATAGAGTAAGAAGGAAGAGCCACTTAATTGGAAGACCAACTGCAGGACTCCACATGCATGTATATATACATACATGTGGTACGCGCACGCACGCGCGCGCACACACACATACACACACACACACACACATACACACACACACACACACACACACACATGCTTGCACACACACGTTTGCACACACATGCACAGGCCCACATGTGCACACACATACATGCACATACCCCACACACACACATGCACACACACGGGCACACATGAGTGCACACACGTGAATCCTCTGCTCTGAACAGGTATAGTACCACCCTGTATAAGCATTTCCCAGGTGTTATTCTCATGACAACTTAGGGCTCTGTTAACTGTCCTTTTTCACCAATGAGAGAAGTGAGGAGTCTGAGACTCCTACAGCTACTGCTTTGAGTGCCTAGGCCCTGGAGATCTCTGTTCTTTCCACTGTGAAACCTGTCCCCAGGGCAGAGCAGGCTAATTTACTTATTCAACAAGCAGGTGACTGGGATCCAGGTCCTGCCTCGGGCCTTGTCATCTGGAGGCTGCCGAGCCTTGTGCATGATCAGCCAGAAAGCATGGCAGACGATGGAAAGCCAGCCTGGAAGGCCAGGGGGTTGAGAACAGACTTTGGGGATAGAGGGGCCTGGAGGTGACCACAGGGTACGGATAATAGAGTGGGGATGGTAAAAGGAGGGCCAAGCACTGGGCTGAGGCTTCCAGGAGGCCCCCAATTCGAATCTTCTGGTGGTGAGGTCCAGTGTCCTCATGGTACGAGAAAGCCCTGGTTTCTGACTCTCAGAGAAAAGGAAACTCAGTGTTCTGCCAGGGCGTGTTACAGTAGGCAGTTGCCATGGAGCTGGGTCACCGGACTGAAACACACACAATCCACCAGCATCCGCTGTCCTCCAGGCTGCCGTTGTGCAGTGGCCACGCAATGACAGCACTCTGTGGAGGTCTCTGTGCCATGGAGCAACAGTCTGATTAAAAACCCTGTATCATTTATGTAGTTCCAAGTGGGGCCCTGTCTCAAGGTCTTGGACAAAGCTGTAGCCCTGTAGTTCCCTGGTCCAGGAGCTAACATCCAGGGACAAACTTGAGACAGTCCCTTCCAAAGCTCTTAGCCGTCTTTGGTCACCCTTGGTGGAAAGCAGCCTTCCCAGCAGCTGCTGTGACCGAGGAACTTGTAGCTCCTAAAGGAACTTCCAAACATATGGGCAGTTAACATTTTCCTGATGCTCTCTGCACGTGGGTGAAGCCTGGAGGCCCAGCCCGCAGTCATCCCAGGTGACTGGGGTCCAGTTGAGAGCAATCTGGATCATAGGTAGTAGCTCAGGAGGGCTCCAGCCTCCCTTGGACTTGGGCCACCTTGGAGTTGAGAAAGGATGAAAGCTGCCTCTCTGCTGCCCCATTTTCACTCCTGCCTCTGAAATAAGAAATAATCACATTGGGCCTCGAGTCCTCTCCAAAGCCCTGGGCTACATAAATCATAGACTTCCATGCCCATCTAACCAGGCTGTAGGGAGTGACATCTGTGACAGTCCTCAGGGCAGAATAGGAGGTAGAATTATCCCTCATCAGTGAGGGGAAACTGAGGACCTAAGAGAGAAACCCACGCCCCATGTCAGATAACAAGAACTTGGGCAGGCTGCTGTAGCTCTCTCCCTCCCTTCTGCCAGCCTTAGACCCATGAGGGGCAGCTCTCAGGAGGCCTGAAAAGGGACATGCCTCCAAGTCTCACTCCTTCTGTGAAGCCCCCAGGGATCTCTGAGAACTCTTTTTGTTTTAATAATAGTTTTACTCTTTAAAATTTTTTATGTATGCATAAATGTATTTTGATTAAATCCATCCCCAGTACCTCCTTCCAGCTACCCCCAGGGCCCCCAACCCATTTTCCTCCAACTTCTTGTCATGTCATCATCATCACCATCGTCATCGTCATCCTGGGTCCAGTTAGTCCTGGGGCATCAGCAACCTCCCGGGGTCCGCATCTCCAAAGCCAAGCGACTCTGCCTCCCTCTGCAGCCATCAGCTGCCCATGGCTGCCGTGCTGGGTGTGGGACCCTATGAGCCCCTCCCCCACCCATATCTACTTGATACTGTGCAGGTCTCTGGCAGGTAAACCACAGCCCTGAGTTGGTGTGCGCCAGCCATGCCACGTCCAGGGCCCACCCTCCTCCTCACCCTCGGTCCCAGTCTCTCTTCCCCTCTCCCATAATGCTCCCTGAGCCTGGGATGGGAGAAGTTGATATCGATGACACCCATCTATGGCGGGGTGCTCAACCTCCTGTGAGTTGGTGTGCACGCCTGCTCCTCCTGAAGGCAGTTTCTCCTCCACAGACTCCCGGGAAGCCAGTCCTGGGAGATGGCATGCTGCCCAGATTGCTCCTACAGTGATAATGGACCCCCCTCTGGTTTCTCTCTCCTCTCTGCCCCACAGTTCTGGCCCCAGTTTTGCAGAGCCCTGATGGGAACTGGATGGCCTTGAAGGATGATGGCACACGGCCCCCAAGCCGCCTGCTGGTCAAACCGAAGAGTGGGACCTTCCAGGCCCTGGAGGTGGCATCCAGTGTGACATCTGCCTATGATGAGATGGGTTCTGACAGCGAGGAAGACTTTGACTACAGTGAGGCCTTGAGTAAACTGTGCCCGCTGCCCCAGGGCAGATCCAAGCAATCCCAGTCTCAGCCTGCACAGGCTCAGTGTTCTGGCCAGGGTCCCTTAGCCACCTCTCCCTCAAACCCTGAGGCCATGGGCTCCGATTCAGAGACTTCTAGCTCGTCTCGGGAAGCTGGACGCCGCGCTAGGCTGTCCTGGCCGCAGAGGAAGGCCCCCAAGACCCCCACGGCAGAGAAGACCCGCCACCAGGGAGAGCTGGATGTGAATTTCAACCCCCAGGCAGCCAGCGGAGAGACGTCTGACAGTAGCGACCCAGAAGAGGCGCCCCACACAGCAGACCGCTGGGCCAGGAGGTGGAGAAGGGCCCGAGTGGGCCAAGAGGAACCAAACAGGGGGCTGTCTTCGCCTAGTGCCCATCCACAGGGTCTACACACACCTCAGGTAAGGAAAGTTCACCTGCAAACACACACACACACTTTGAATTAGAGCGGCCCTTCTCCACATGTGATGCCCCAGAGAGTCTGGTGTGGGAGCTACTGTCTAGGATTCTATTGACCTTGCTGCCAAGCAGCCAAGAGACCCGAGCCAGGTCACATCAACCCTCAGTGGCTCTGTGTCCTTGTCTTAGTTAGACTTTCTTGTCACTGTGAGCAAATACCTGGCAAAACACATCCTGAGGGCGTTTTCATTTGGGCTCACAGTTCTAGAGGGTTCTGTCTCGGGTGCTGTGTCTCCTGGGCTTGACAGAACATGTTTGATGGCAGGGGCAGGGGTAGAGGTCTTCTTCAGTTCATAGTAGACAGGAAGAAGAGAAAGTGACCATGAGAGAGGGCCAGGGTGGGGCTGGGGAGACGGCTTGGTTGGTAAAGGGCTTGCTGTGTAAGCTTGGAGACCTGAGTTCAAGCCCCACCTAAAAAGCCAAACATGGTGGCACACTGGCCATCCCAGCACCCGAGAGACAGGGACAGGAGAATCCTCTCCTGGCCAGCCCAGCCTACATGCTGAGCCCTTACCAGTGAGGAACCCTGTCTCAAAAACAAGGTGGGTGGCTCCTGAGGAATGACATCTGAGGTTAATCTCTAGCCGGATGACTCTAGCCTGTGTCAAGTTGACAAAGTAAAACCAAGCAGGACAGCACCAGTTAGGGAGAAGGCAGAGGCCACCGGGAAGGTGCCGGTACACGCATGAGCAAGTAGCAGTACCCTCTCATGCCCACTAGGTGGCGACTCTGCCACACTGCCAGAGTTGCCTTTCATAGGGCAGTTCTCACCCCGCCCCTGCCCCCAACCAGCCCCGCCTTGGGAATGAAATAAAATAAAAATTACATATTTAAACTGTTACTTTAGACATATATAAATAAATTAATATAAGACAAAGCAGATGAGTGTACTATAATATACAAATATTAAAGTGTACTAATGTCATTTCCCGCTGGGCATGGTGGCACGTGCCTATAATCCCAGTACTCCAAAGGTTATGGCAGGGGGGGCATGTATTAGAGACTAGCCTGTACTACATATTGAGTTCCAGTCTAGCCTGGGCTAGACAGTGAGACACCCTCCCCCATTTCAGAAAACAGACAGGGTGAAGAGGTGGCTTGACAGTTAAGAGCATTGCTGCTCTTACAGGGGACCTGGGTTCGGTTCCGAGCACCCACATCTGGCAGCTCACAGCCAGGTGCAACTCCAGCTCCAGCTCCAGCTCCAGAGGAGCTGACATCCTCTTTCTGGGCACAAATGGTGCCCATACAAATAGTCACACACATATACGTAAATTAAAAACTAATAAGGTAAAAATAAAATCCAACTTAGTGTTATAACCCCAAAATGACCGCAGGTATATTTTGTATGAGGCCATTTTTTCAGGATTATGATGAAACACCACAGTCAGAGCAGCTTGGGAAGGAAAGGGTTTATGTGGCTCACACTTCATGTCACTGTTCATTGCCAAAGGGAGCCAGGGCAGAGCTCAAACAGGGCGGGAACCTGGAGGCAGGAGCTGATGCAGCAGCCAGGGAGGGGAGCTGCTTACTGGGTCTTTGCTCAGCCTGCTTTCTTATAGAACCCAGGACTCCAGACCAGGGGCGGCCCCACCCACAATGGGCTGGGCCCTCCCCCACTAATCACTAGTTAAGAAAACGGTCTTGTCTACAGCTGATCTTATGGAGCCCTTTTCTTAATCCAGACTCCCTCCTCTCAGATGACTTTAGCTTGTGTCAAGTTAACATAAAACTCGCCAGTTCAGCCATCTTTATGTGTTCCTATGCATACACTTAGAACTGTCACTCAGCAAGTCTGTCTGTGTCGGGCATCACGTTGTCCATCTTCTTCCACAACTCTCTAATTCCCAACCGTAAGTGACACAGAGGGGTTAGCAATTGGGGCATTCTACGTGCAAAAGATTGGTTTCAGCCAGATAGTGTGCCAAGAGCAGGGACCAGCTCGCCGAGAATGCAGGCAATCAGGAATACACTGTGGAAAATTAAAAACCAGGAGCTGGGAGATAACTTAGTTGGTAAAGCATTTTCTTTGCAAGCACAAGGGCTGAGTCTCGTCCCCAGAACAGGTGTGAAAACCCAGGCATGGTGATACAGGCTTGTAATCCCTGCGCTAGGAGGCAAGACTTCAGATCATTGGGGCTTGCTGGTCAAGCAGTCTAGCCTGTGTGGCCCAGGCTAGTGTGAGACCCTGCCACACACACACAAAAGTTAAAATAAAAAAAAACAGCAATAAACACATTAAAAGTCAGACTTTTAGAAAGATTTTCTTTTTTAGATTTATTTATTATGGACACAGTGCCCTGCCTGCACATTTGCCTGCAGGCCAGAAGAGGGCACCAGATCTCATTACAGATGGTTGTGGCCACATGTGGTTGCTGGGAATTGAACTCAGGACCTCTGGAAGAGCAGCCAGCTCTTAGCTGCTGATCTCTCCAGCCCATGGAAAAGATTTTCTTAATTATGGTTTCTAATTAGGTGTGTGTGTGCGTGCGTGCGTGCGTGCGTGCGTGCGTGCGTGCGTGCGTGCGTGCGTGCGTGTTTG